GGATGGATGGATGGATGGATGGATGGATGGATGGATGGATGGTTGGACGGACGGACGGACGGACGGACGGACAAGTCTGTTCATGAGTGGAAGTATTCATTTTTTTAATTGTATTGATAATAACGTTTTTTTTTCTAAGAAAACCAAAATAAAATTAATTTAATATTCCTTGAAGAAATGCCAGTAGCCCACCTGGCATGCCAAGGTTTTAAACAAAGAGCTTGTGTGACCTGTTAGCGCTAGGAGTATGTGTTGGGAATGACTCACAGCTACTACCACACCAAACTTTAGCTCAATATCTGTGAAACTCTCAGCTAGAAACATTTACGTGATTGCTAAGGTTGATTAGCTGCTGCAGCCACCTTGAATCCAGTCGACTTCAAAAGTTAATCAGTTGTGGATGTATATTCACTGATTACTGACAGTTTCATTAAGATTTGTCCAATGGCTCCTAAGATATTTTGCTAACAAACAAATACACATGCACACACAAGCATTTACATGACTGCCTACCTTTCATGGTGTAGAGGAATAAATACTAATTACTGTTAAAAAGTTTTACTTCTAAACTGTTTTCACTGTTAGTTTTCAGATTAACCAGTCTTCCCTGAAGATAACTCAGTTACCCAGTTAAGATCAAGTATTTCACCAGGAGAAGCCCCTAAACCACATTTTTTAACACAGTTTGATGAATGGGGGTAATAATCAAGAAGATTATGAAAAATTAGTTGGCAGCGCAACAAACCCCAGCTGTGGACCAATTTTCCTCTTTATTTATTGGTTTGTGAAACATGAAAACTCTGCACCCTCCTGATTGCTTTTCCACTTGTCAAATGTGTTTAAATGAAGATCTTGTACATTTTCCAGGGCTGAGCTTTGGTGCGCACTTCATCATTTTGGATTTCCTTTCTGAAGTATGTTGGACACTTAGAGATCGAACTGTGTCCAATTAGTTTAGAAGTCCAAAACGTTTGTTTGCTTTTTTCATTACAATGACCTTTGGATTTGGGAGTTGTCGCGTTTAAAAACACCCACAGGTGAAGTTAAACTAGAGGCGCTGGACTTTTCTGGTTTTATTTGGCATCAGTTTTCCTGCTTGCTCCGTATGGGTTTGCATTTTGTATCTTTTGTCCTCATTGCTGCTTAAACATTTTCCCCCTCTCCGTGTCCCTCTCAGGCTTACATCCTTGTGGACTGTGGCGATGACAACGTCTGCGTCCCCGACCTCCACCTCTCTGCCAGCATGTAAGACTCACGCCCTCTGACCCCAACCTGTGCACGCTCAGACAAACGCGAACTAAAACAAAGAAAATGCGCCTGCGGCTCCTCAAACAATGAGCGCAGTTTATGTTGAACTTGCTCCCATTCTAGTCCATTTGAACATGTGTTAGTGAGCTTTTAGCATGTGCGCGAGCTAGCGATCACATTTCCAGCTGTTCGACATCTCCATGGCAGCTTTATGTAAACACCCTTCTCACCGTGCACTAACGCATACACGCTTGTACGCCGCTGGCCTCGAGGAGTTGAACTTGTTGCAGATGATTGCACATGAAGCCGTGTCGTAAAAGGAAAATTTGCAAAAGTCATATATTTTTTGGGTGCATGCAGCAGCGTGTTTAGTTTTTCGTGCCTAAAAGAAATTATCTTTTCATTTGCACGCTCTTGTCTATTCAAATACAAAATCACAGGGATCGAACAGAGTTGGTGATTGGAGAAGACAACCTGGTGATGCTGACGATCACTGCTGCAAACCAAGGAGAGGGAGCTTACGAGGCAGAGCTGCACACGCTGATCCCCCCGGAGGCGGACTACATTGGAGTGGAGCGCAGGGTGGAGGTCAGTACTCATAAATAAAAACAATAAATTCACCGCTACAGTTTCATTTTAAAAGCCAATAAAGCGTGTACACTCGGACATAAACTGAATTCAGTTTTCTCATTATGGCTCCAGCCAAACATCAGAGAAGGAAGTCTGTTATTTGAGGCTGCAGTTCCAGCAGCTCCACATCCTGTTGTGTCATAATAGCATGTGTTTAGCGTGATTAAGGAAAGGCTATCAGCAGGATGTACTTTACTGGCAACAGCCCAAAAGCCCCCCCCGTTATGGGTTACAGGCTGCATTAGTGACTAGAGAAATGGATTGGGTCAGTTTGTGCACGTGTGTGTGTTTGTTTGCACGTGTGTTAGTGGTAATGAGTGTGTAATGGGGCTGTTTGATTGATTGTATTGTTGTTGTCAGAGCTTTCATCACTCTTCCTCTCCTGTCTTCCTCTTTCCAACGTTGTTTCAGCTTTAAGGCTGCATGACGATAGGAAACCGTGTGATTGCAGTGTTGCTGCTGAGTCTTTCCACAACAGAAATATTTGTAATAAATCCATGTTTTTGCTCTTTTTCTGTCATCTGTGTGCTTTAGCATTTTGACCACTGCCGTCTGAGTCGGAGAGGGCATCTCAGACAGAGTCCGTCTGATTGACGGATAGATCAAATCTTTTGAATGGGGATTCTGTGGAAAGGTTATGAACATTTAATAGCAGATAGATTATAAACAACTTCAGTTTGGAGAAGTAGTTGCAATTCTGATATAATTGAGAAGCTGCCAATTTCACATTATGCAATTATGTGCATTATGCATGCACTTTGAAAGTGCTCCAGTGTATAAAGTTGAAAGAGATGGGTAACAAAATAATGTGCACAGCCAAAAATACAGATTTGCAAGCTGTGAACACAGAAACAAACCGTGATTTTTGTGAATTGGTAGCGTGAAATGCAGCCGCACAACTCTTGGGTTTCAAATTACCGTAATTTCCGGACTACTGAGCGCACCTGAATATAAGCTGCGCCCACTACATTTAAAAAGACAAAAACATTGTGCATATATAGGCCGCACTTGTCTATAAGTCACGTGTGTCCACGTTCTAACATGAGATATTTACACAGAAAGATTTTTTTTTTTACTTTTAATTAAATACGTACCGTCAACATACACAAATACATACAGTAATTTATTTTTCTAAACAGTGTCTGTAACACAGCTGGTTAAAAAAAAAAAAAGTAAACTACCATGAAGTCATTGATCGCTATCTTCATCTTCCTCCTGCGCACTGCACACTTCTCGCTGCTAGTCATCCAAGCCTCCCACTGAGCTCGGAGTACCATTTTAAATGCACAATTCACACTTATTTTGAGTGGCTACAAATACTTCGTTCCACCCCCCCTCCCTGGGGGCACAATGAGAAGGGGAGGAGAGAACAGGAAGGCGGCAAAACAAAGTTCCCTCCCTTCCCCAGTGGACCAGTGAAACCAAGTTTCATTGTTCCAGTGTGACTTGTTTGGATTGGTCAGCTTTTTTTTTTACCTCATGAGGATCCACCCCCCAAGAGAGATGTATATTTGGCAGCTATGTGAGCACCTGAGTGTAAATGTTTTGGCAGCATGAAACTCAATAACTTGTCAAAAAAATTTAAAAATTTGCTGCAGCATTGTCTAATCCATGGTGTTCAAAGCGTGTGGAAAAAAGTAGCAGTTTATAGTCCGGAGATTACGGTACCAGAATTCATTGATAATGCTGCTGAACATCAAACTATTAACTCACAGTTCTGCGTCACCAACTATTCTCCAACAGTCACAGGGAGATCACGGCTTTAGCTGCTGCTGTTTATGCCTGAAAACAGCCAAAGAATTCTGTGCACATAGCCATGTAACGCAAAACTAAGAGCAATGTAAAAATTTGCAAAAACCACTGGAAGTTGTTTTAAAACAGCAGTAATCCAGTTTGTTCCTGACCTCGTTCAGACTAGCCGTTAGCTCATCAGTCAGGTCAAAACTGATCTTTATGTCTCCAAACTGGTCATTCAAAGAGCTGTCTAAAACAGGTAGGATGTTATTTGTTCATAAACTCTCCACAAAATGTAAATTGTAATATAAAATTATTTCAGTCCAAAACACGAGTTTTTAATACCTGACTTTATTATTTGTCACATTGATTCAATTTTTATTTTTTCTGTCCATTTCTCTTTCCCAATCTCTCTTTTTTCCTCTTCTAGTCGCTCTCTCAGCTAAATTGCGAGTACAGGACGATCAACGATACTGGAATCGTGGTGTGTGACCTCGGGAATCCGATGGTGGCGGGAACCGAGGTGAGTTCCCACACTCAAAAACAAAAACACAAGTTCCCACATTCAAAAAAAAAACCCACCCGCAATAAGAAGAGCTCGCCAGTCTTCAGGTTTAATTCGACTTAAGATTGCCAAAGATCATCACCTTGACTCTCGCTCCACACGCTCCGACTCCCCTGGCTGTGCTTCGCGCTCAACTTGTGCAATAATGATGCATTTAGCTCTCGCACTCCTGACACATGCAGGAAGCCGAGGCTTTGTAAAATAAAGAGTGGTCCCTTCCGACACGAGATTCGACCGCTCTGCTGTGCATGTGCTGTAAAGAGCGTCGCATGTGTGAAAGTGAAGGTGTTTTTCTTTTAAGGATGTCAGTGCTGGCCTGGAGGTGCGTTCACTCTCCAGAGTTGACACGGGCCGTTCTGATAAATCAATTATGTGGTCATGTTTCACAGTTTGGTAGGGGGAGGGGGGTATTCGCATAATGAGGCATGTGAAAGGGACAAGGTGTGTGTGTGTGTGTGTGTGTGCTGTCCAGATGTTTCCCATATTCAACTCTCCCTTTGCCCTGTTGGACGCTCAGGAATCCATGAGCTTATGCAGAACATACCTTCACGTACACCCCCCAACCCCCTGCACTCCCACCCTCCATTCCCCCCCTCCCCCCCCTCTACTGAGAAACTTAAATGGTTCTGAACACTTGGGGTCACTGCTTCGGCCACACGACGCAGCTGTGGCGCCTCACTGAGCAGAAGGTTTGGATCCTTCAGGATTATATTCCAGAAGGAAAGCAGGGTTTGATCCATCAGTCAGCCTCTGCAGATACTTTATACTCTATTTTTTAAATGATTTTTGCTCATTTAATTGATTTATTATCCTTCACCTATCAATAGAAGCCCGTTAAGATAAAGGCAGAGTGTTCCTTGAAGGAGTGTGTATCGCCTGCCAGCATTCACGCCCGTGTTTCAAACTCATGGCCACACGTTGACAAGAAAAAGAAAATTACATCGTCACCGCAAAGTCCACTTTTTGATTTTACCTCCAGGACTGACAACTTCTAGAAAATAAAACCACAAACACAGATCTTTTTACTTTTTTCTGCTGTTAATAATCTAATAAAATACGGCAACTTTCATTTAGATTGTAAACAAGTAGAAGACCATTCATGGCAATTTATTTATGATGTATGTTAAACCGCTAACGTTAGCAGCTCAATAAACAGACTGAAATTAACTTGTTTCAGATGTGTCTGCCTTCTGCTCTGTCACCTGTCCTCCTCCTCCTCCTCCTCCTCCTCCTCCTCCTCGTTGTCACTGGGAGCTGGAGATGCTCCCTCTGAAGAACACATTTGGTGCTTGTCTCTTTAGATCTTCCCCGTCTGGCTCTTCCCCTGCAGTCCTTGTAATGTGTCCCATAAAGATAACTCGGCTTTGTAGTCCCGCGGCCCAGCTTCGCCCCCCGCAGACGCGCCCCCTTGAAGTTTTAGTGCGAGTCTGCATGCTGTCATTTCCCGCCCCTCTGGACCTCGAGCTCGACCTGTTTTTCAACAGAAATCACATGTAAATACTCACATGCACGCTGCAGGCCGCGGCGGACTCAGCTCTGCACGTGTTTTCTGTTAGACTGGAGGACTGGGGATTTAAACAGAGGAGAGACGAGGAACCGAACTGTGGTTTGTAAGTCTGTGTCCGTAGTCTGGCTTTTGTCAGGTTTTAAGAAACTTACTGTTATCAACACACACACAAGTACACACACACACGCACACAGTCTTGATATTGTGATTGTGAAGTAACAAGAGAGGATCCAGTTACAAAGTTACCGTCTGTTTTTAAACAGGCGTGACAGAGTGTTGCCTTTATAGCACAGATGCATCTAATTTCTCACCATCGTCCTTTATTTCCTCCAAATTTATGCTTTTATATTTATATATATTATTTTTGTTTCTGTGTCTTTCATTTTCCTGCCCAGCTGTCTGTCGGTCTGAGGTTTTCGGTGCAGAGGTTGGAAGAAGCCGGACCAAGCATCACTTTTGAGCTGCAGATCCACAGGTGACACGCTCCCAGGCCCTCGCACGAATTACCAGGCGTCTCACGGAAACCCGACAGAGAGCTGTTTGTCTTTGCTCTGGTCCGTGTAAATAGGTGCTGTGTCTGAGACCAGCACTCTCTGCGGGCTCGTGTTGCAAACTGCAGAGGAAAACAGATGGTTTCAGACGAGCTCCGCGCATAAACTAAACGCAAAGTGTTCGCTTCAGAATCATTTGATCTGACACGTCATCAGATACGACGATCCCCTGCGTGGAGTCAGATGATGAGAAATATGTCTTCATCGTTGGCTGTCTGAATGCTGACTGTTGTTTCCTGTGGTTTATCTTTTATGTACAGTTTTGCAGTCTAACTAGTGCTGCAAACTTTGTTTAATGTATCGAAACGTTCAGCAGATGGCTGCTATGACTTCTAATATAATAATTTAACAACATTCTATATAATACCTTTCAAAAGATTTTCCTTTATTTTCCCTCTAAGATCTAGTTTAGAAAACTTGCTCTATTTTTTGTCTGTTTTTAGTTTAAAACTATTATTCTACTAATATTAGCTACCCTTTTTTTTTTGCTGTTGCTACTTTTAACTTCCAGCTAGACTTTTGCTTCTTTTAATTCACTTCAGTTTATTTAGCTTTAGCAACTAGTTAGCTGTTTGATACTTTTAGCTTTTAGCAACCATTACTTTAGGCTTTTAGCCAGGAGTGGTGGCACAGAGGTTAGAGTAGATGGACCTGTGATCAGAAGGTCGCTGGATCAACTCCCCATACCGACAACATTAAAATGTGAGTGGGAACGGGGAAACAACCACACCTGCCTCCACCATAATTTGCCCCACTCTGGGCCCTTGAGCAAGGCACTTAACCCCCACTATCTGCTCTCCAAGGCACCCTAGATAGCAGCTCTCTGCTCCACACAAAGGGTTGTGGTAGCTCGGTGGTCTGTGGTTGCGTCAGGAAGGACATCCGGCGTAAAAATAATTGACAAGTCGTCGTTCGACAGTTCATTGTGGTGACGCCTGAAGAAGAGAGCAGCCGAAAGAAGAAAAAATAAAATAAACTCTTAACATTTACCAAGTCTTTTGCTACATTTAGCTTTTAGCAAGTGTTGCTACCTTTAGCTAGCGTTATGCAACTTTTAGCTACAATTTTGCTATTTTTAGCTTGTTGCAAGTCATTTTAAACCTCTAGCATTGACTTGGCCTTTTGCTACATTTAGCATTTAACCAGCCTTTTGCTACTTTTAGCTTTGAGCAAGGCTTTTACTGATTTCACCTATCTTTTTGTTACTTTTGTTTTTAGCTACCATTATTTTAGGCTTTTTGCTAGTCTTTTGGCACAGCTAACATTTACAAAGCATTTAGCTGCATTTAGCAAGTATTTTGCTACCTTTAGCTAGCGTTACGCAACTTTTAGCTACAATTTTGCAATTTTAGCTTGTAGCAAATCATTTTAGCATTGGCCTTTTGCTACATTTAGCTTTTAACCAACTTTTGCTACTTTTAGCTTTGAGCAAGCATTTCACTTGGCTTTTTTAATGTTTCAAGCTTTTAGCTAGTATTTTGCTTTTATCGCTTTAAGTCATACTGTGAAATTGTAGCTTTTAAAAACTATAAGATTATAAAGAAAAAGAAAAGGGAACAATCAGAACCATGCTAACATCCTGCTGGGTTCTACAGGTTTACAAAATTTGCACAGCCTTCAACTCACTGCACACATTTTCATCAGAACAGGTCTGATGACTCCGAGGTTTTATCGTTTAATGTTTTTATTTGCTTTGGGTTATTTGGGTTGTGAGCATCTGAACTTGTATTTGACATTGAACTAAAAATAATTGGCTGATAGTGACCACAGCTGTATTCTCAGTAATAAACCAGTTAGTGGCACGCTGTTGAAAACAGATGTTTTATGTTTTCAGCCTTTTTCTGTGAATTTCATTTTGAGCAGAACAAGGCTTTGTCATTTCTTTCGTTTTATATACACTTTTATTCATAATTTTTTTTTTAAATTAAAGTGTTTGTGAATCTCTCCACAGCTCCAACAAAGATAACTCCAACAGCAACCCGGTCAGTTTGAATCTGTCCATCACTGCCAGCGCTCGGCTCGATTTACGTGGGTGAGTCCAACATCTCTGTGTGGCTCTACAACAAAATATGACAACTTGTTTTTTTTTGTCTTTTCATGCCAGCTTTCCTCAAAAAAAACACAGTTCCCTGGTTTCAGTCTAAACTTTCTGCAGAATAAACCTCTCCCTTTGAGGCTTGAATTTACAGGATGTGTTTACAGGATGGAAAACAGCCGAAAAACACATTTGTAGAAACAAATGTTAACTAATCATGTGCACATGGGACATATTTGTCATCTGCATGGCTGTCCATACGCCTGCTAACGTACATGCACGCTAACAACACTAACAAGTTTGGAGCCTAACATGCTGCTGTTTGGGTGTGGTCGGGAGTAGAAATAAATACAACAGGAACCAGAATAAGCGAGAGGAGGACATGTCGCAATGTTTGCATCATAACGTTGTCCTGCTCCAAATATGTTCATCAATCCTCGTGAGTTTTTGTGTTTATTTTCACAGTCATCGGTGTTGTAACACGCAGCTCTGGCATCAAACGATGAAACTGTCCCATTGATGTAAAATCGTTCGCTTGCTTCGTCACGAGGCGTGCCTCTTTTGCTAAAGTAGCTCAACTGCATGTCTGGGCAACAAACGTTAACGCCAACAGGAGCGTTACTGCCCGCTGACGTCGGCTCACCTGGAGATTTTACACATGGTGTCACCGGATTTGGCAGAAGTTGAATCTGCATGCCTGGAGGTTTCTGATGATTTTGTTTCATTTAATTATAAGCAAAAATGGTAACACTTTACAATAAGGTACACAAAATGTACTTAACTACTAGGGAACGCCTAAGGAACAAATCAGGAGCTAATGGATAGTTAACCATTACTTACTGGGGAACACACAGCCAAGCCTTATTAGGAGATACTGGTTAGTTACTTTGTAAATGAAAAGGAACTAATCAAGAACTAATGGGTAGTTAACCAGTGCATACTGGGAAACACACAGCCAAGCCTCATTAGGGGACTACTGGTTTGTTACCACAGACACAAAGGAGAAATTCTCCATGCGAGTTCTGAATAAACCCTGCACCAGTGAGGTCACAGCTTGTAATTGTCAAAAACCTGTTTCCTAGTGATTACTGATTTTATTAACCATTAGCTCCTGATTCGTTTCTCTTTGGTTTCCTTGGTAACTACCCATTAGTTACTGATTAGTTCCTCTTCATTTCCCAGGTAACTAACCAGTAGTCCCCTAATAAGGCTTGGCTTTGTGTTCCCCAGTAAGTACTGGTTAACTACCCATTAGCTCATGATTAGTTCCTGATTCTTTCCTGAGGTCTTCCCTAGTAGTTAATAGCATTTTGTGTACCTTATTATAAAGTGTTACTGCAGAAATGTTGTCCTCCATCTTTAAATCACATCTAAATGGGTTTAGAGCGGAGAAAGTAAACGTGGTGCCAGTAGACGTTAGGGCTGAACGATTTTGGAAGATATTCTAATTGGGATTTTTTTAACCTCAATATTGCAATTTAATTTGTGATTATTTTTCATTGTCTTCTTCTCATGTCTTTTTCAATGATCACAAGCAATAAATCTGTTTCAGTTGCAAAAAATCTCCACTGTTTTCAACTCTGCTGCAACTCTGTTTCTGCATTTTTTTGTATAGATCCAGGATAGCAACTTGGCTAAAAAGTGTGCGCGAGGGCGTTCTGTACTGCTTATCCATTGTGTTTACCAAAGCTGTAAACTCAAGTTTGGTCACTATATTAATGGGCATCATGTCTTTCGTTATGAACTCTGTTATTGCTCGAGTTATTTCCGCGTGTTGTTTCGAATTATGTTCATACAGAGTAAAACCTTCGAACAGTTTGGTCAGTGATCCCTGTCGACTGGTACTTTGCTGACTTTAAGTTGAAGCACTGGTCATTGGCATTCTAGCCAAATGACTTTGTGGTGTTTTTTTAAGTGTTGATAAAGATTTTTGGTGTTACCCCGAGAGGAATCAACAGCAGCAAAGCAGGTTCTGCACAATGCATGTTGTGCAGCGTCTTCTTTTTTACAGCCAAAATAATTCCAAACAACGGACGTGCTGCCGCTCTTTGGTACCAAACTTTCAGATGTATCTGCTTCTGTCGAGCCTGACGTCACTGTGCAACCGGTTAAAGAAGCAGTGTTGACTTCTCTGCTCCCTGATCTGCTTTGCTCCGCTCACTCGCAAGTCACGTAACCAGATCACGGGACCAGTCAAATCGCAGCCTTTGTGATTAGAAAATCTCGTTTGAGCATATCAGGATATTATCGCAAATTCAATTAATTGTTCAGTCCTAATAGATGTCATGATCTTTGTGTTTTTGTGGGTTTGTTGTTGTCAGGGGAATTTTGGTCAAGGCTGTTTATCTCTAACTAATGTTAACTGCCCATGAACTGTGTGTTTGAGTTAGCAGAGAGAGCTGAATGAGGAGCTGATTTGATGTTGCGTGTGCAGCTGGTACTCCGAGGTCGCCTCCAAGTCTGTGAGCTCGGAGGAGCTGATAAGCATGCATTATAAAAACAATCCTCGCACACTGTCCGGTGCAGACACTCGTGACTGGCTTTCAAGCATGTCTGGGCATTTGTGTAAGCCTGTTGTGATCATCTGTCCTTGCAATTAAAACTCGATTAATAAATATTCTGTCCTTCCATGCGGCTCCTTTGAGTAAGTAAAATAATGCAAGGATGTTTTTATCCAACAGTTGTCTTTTGTGTGTTCTTATGTTCTGGTGTTCTTGTGTGTGGATGTTTTTATTTTTATCAGCTCTTGAGTTTCCCCCTCTGCTCATCTTCACTTCACCTCAATCAGCTTCTACTCCCCAGTCCTGCCACGCCCACTCGCACCTGTTCCTTGTTTCCTTTTAGCTCAGCTGATCCTCATCTCCTCGCTCAGCCTCAGCCTTTATTTACCTCTCCAGTATTCATCGGTACATTACTGCCACGTCAGCGCTTTGTTTTCCTTTTGTAATAAAAGAGTTTATTTTACATCTTCCTCGAGTCAAGCCTGCATTCTTGGCTCCTTCCTTCCTCCTGCCACTGTGACAAGTCTGCAGCATCATGGGACTTCTTTCTTCTGAAAATCAACTAATTAGATCCACTCTGTCAGATTTTCCCAGCTTTGTAGCCGTGTATTCAATAATGACCGTTTAATGGAATTGACCTGTTTATGACAAATAGAATAAAGAAGATATTGTCAGACATCAACTACATGCTGCTTTGCACACCAAATATTTAAACAAAGTTCTGTAAGCACTCAGAGCGGGTATTGGGGATGACTCTCAGCTACTACCACACCGGATTTGAGCTTAATAGATGTGGTGTTTACTGCGTTGTAGACATTTTTAACTTTGGTTGATTAGCAGTGGCAGCCATCTTGTGTCAGGTTGACATTAAAAGTTAATCAGTTGTAGATTTACATCTAATGTTTACTTTCTAAAGACTTCATTCAAAGCTGTCCACTGATTCATGAGGTATTTTGCTAACAGAGAGCATTACCTCGACGCTTGCTGTGGCAAGTTTCCCTACCATTATAAATCCACTGTTACAAGAGACACAATCCAAAAACCGGCTTACCTTTTTTGTTTCATGCAAGAAATATATGTCTGTTGATGTTCATCATATTTCTCTTCTTGTTAGAAACTGATTTCAAATGAGTCCTTCTTTATGGTAAAGCTGTGTCTGCTCCTTCCAGGGTGTCCCATCCCCCCCAGGTGGTGCTGCCATTCCCAAACTGGGAACCGAAAGAGAAACCTGTCAAAGAGGACGACGTCGGACCACAAGTGACTCACATCTATGAGGTACATATCAGAGGAAAACGGGGAAGGCTGGGTTGTTTTGTCACGTGTGTGTTTGTTAAAACTAGTTTACCAAACCTTATAAAACTGAGGACAGCATGAGAAAAGGAGGAGCTTATTTAACGTCACTGCTTTTCCTGGTGCGACTGTTGGTGATTCCAACACTTTGAGCAGACAAATAGGTGTGGAAACCTAATTAGGCAGGAACAAGAGTGAGAGCTCTGCAAGGTGAAGTAAACGGCAACATTTTACACACACGCTCCGTAAAACCAGGGGCTCCATAAAGAATTAAGATCTGGATGATCAAAGGTCTCCAGCTCAGAAGTAATTACTGCTGTGAGGTGTAGAAAGAGTGGAGGGGGGGAACCAAAAGGGCGAAGGAGGAAAGGAATGAAGGATGCAAAGGGAAGAAGGAAGAGTGTATTTTATTTGAAGGGGGCGCATCGAAACATGATAAATCAAAGCAGACTGTGAACGCTGAGCAATGAATGAAGCTGAAACTGGGTTGTTAAAGCTAAAATAAGCAGAACACCAGCTAAAAGCTAAATGATGCAAACAACAGCTATATGCTAAGAGAGGTAAAATGCTAGCTTAAAGCTAAAAGCTTAATGAAGCAAAAGGCCAAGTAAACTAAAGGTGGAAATGGACTTTCTACAAGCCAAAAATAGTATGGTAGCTAAAAGTTGAATAAAGCAAGCTAAAAGTAGCAAATAAAAAACAGCTAAAAGCTAAATGTAGCAAAAGACCAGGTAAATGTTAATGGTAATGTTAATGGTAATGATGATAATGGCAATATTGACTTGAACTTGAAATGTTAGGTGTGTTAAAGGACTAGCTAAAAGCCTAAAGTAGAAAAGTAGTAACATAAGTAGCTAAACACTTGCTGATGAAAACACAAAAGAAGCTAAATGCAATTTAAAAGCATAGTCAAATATTAACCAAAACTAGCTAAATACTAGCTAAATGCTAAATATAGTCAATATTAACAAACAACTAGCTGAAATCTAAAAGTAACAAAACACTAGATCAAAATTAAACGTTTTCAAATGTTAGATAAAATCTAAAACTAGCACAGTACTAGCTAAAAGGAGCACAAATCTAGCTAATATAAGCAACAAACTAGTTTAAAGCTAAAAGTCACAAGCCATAGCTTTAAAATTAAATGTCACAAAATGCCAGCATAAAGCTAAAACTAGCTCAGTACGAGCTAAAAATAGAAACAACCTAGCTAATATTAGCAAAATAGTAGCTGAAAGCTACAAGTCATAGACACAAACATAGACATTTAGTTTTAAGCTATTAAAACTAAATGTAGCTAAATGTTAGCTAAAAGCTAAAACTAGCACAATACTAGCTAAAATTAATAAAAGCTACATGTAAGCAAAAAATAGCAAAAAGAAAAGCTAAAAAGAATCAAAAGGCTAGCTAAAAGCAACAAAAATAACAGAATGGTAGCTAGAAACCAGAAGTAGGAAGTAAGAAGGCAAAATAGATAATATTTCAATATTATTGATTTAATTATTAAGATACAAATAAATCAAAGAAGTAAAAGTTTAAGACAGACTGGTGACAGCTTGCACTATAGACCGTGTGTGTGTGGCTGTGTGTGTGCGCGAGCCGTAATTGTGACTTCTTTTTGTTGTCAGCTTCATTGAACCCGAGCGCAGTATTGTCTGGCTCGTCCCACAGCTGATAATGGTTTTCATTTGTGGCACTTTTCCCAGCAGGCAGCTGCTTCTGATTAGACAGGACGGAGTTTTTTGGCTCTGAAGAATTCCTGCCCTGCAGCATCAGGATCACGTCCTGTTTGGATGACTTGTTTCGTTGTTACGACCACGTGTGTTGGTGTGTGTGGAAAAAAAAAAAGAGGCCTTCTTTCTGAACTGATGCTCGATTTAGGGTCATATAATTCATCCGGCCCAGTTAGGATGTGGAAGATCATCTGGATGATGATGTGGATTTTACTTGTGTTTCCCTCCCTGGTGACTGAAGGCTGCACGAGTTTATCTTTATGAAAACACAGGTGGCCCGTCTCATCATACCACAGTTATGATAACCTGATTACAGCTCTGGTCACATGGGACTTGCTAACAGGGCAGAAAATGAGTCTGAACCTGACAGCTCTTTGTTTTTACTGCTGTAGCTTCATAACTCCGGTCCCAGCAGTATCGGAGAGGCTGAGCTCCAGGTGGGCTGGCCTGCCCGTTTCCGTGACGAGAACCTGCTGTATGCCATGGAGATTCAAACGGACGGCCCAGTTAGCTGCCAGACAAACACCAGCCTGAACCCACTGGGCCTCCAGGTACCGTGAACATTTACACACACATCTAGAAACCAAACACCTTCAGAGGAAACCCTGAGAATCATTGATCAAGTTGGAAGAAGGCCAGAAAGTCTGACTCCTTGGAAGCCAAATATTAAGAAATAAAACTTTGTCAATATTTCATGTAGATAAAACCATTTTCGTTGATTCATCACTGTTATCTAGTTTGATCACAGCACATTTTCCTCTCTTAACAGTAATATTCAATCTTTGAACAGATATTAAAGAAATGGTGTTGCAATGTCAATTATTGAATCAATTAGTCAACGATAGTAAAATTAGTTAATTACAGGAAATGCCTGTGGTTTGTTTTTCCGTACCGGCAGTGCTTCTATCCACAGAGCTGAGGGACCAAAAGGAAACAATCTGACATCCGGTCTCTTAATAAAGCTATAAGGAATAAGCATTCATTGAGTCATCAGTTTGCCGGCTTTTGAAAACTTTTCAATTAAAATATCTAACCATGCTGGTCTCTTTGGTTTGCGCGTAAATTTGAACTTCCTGGGGAGAGACAATAAAATCTTTTGTTCTGTTATCTGAAACCAAAGGATGTCGATCCATCCGCTCCGGCTTCTTGTCGGCGCGACCGTATGAACAGGAAATGAAACCTCTTCGGATTCAGCGGAGCACAAACCGCTCTTTGATCCGCGTTTCCAAACGCCACACTCGTCTCCACAGCTGAAAGTTTTATGACGCCTTTTTTAAAGTCCTGAGGATCTGACGAGGCTGCATCATGTGCTGCAGAGACCTGAGTGGAACAGACATGAGATGATCGATGCGTGTTTCTCTTCTTCTTCTTTCGGCTGCTCTCTGCTTCAGGGGACTTGGCGATTGTTTTGACGCTGGATGCCCTTTGTGATGCAACCACAGACCACCGAGCTACCACAGCCCTCGTGTGGAGCAGAGAGCTGCCATCCAGGGTGCCTGGGGGAGCAGATGGTGGGGGTTAAGGGTCTTGCTCAAGGGCCCAGAGTGGGGCAAATGAGGGTGGAGGCAGGTGTGGGTGCTTCACCTTTCCCACATACATTTTGATGTTGTCGGTCCAGGGAGTTGAACCGGCAACCTTCTGATCATAGGCCCACCTTCTCTAACCTCTGCCCCCGTGATGATCGCTGCACGTTTATGAAAAATGTTTCAGACGTTGGAGCAGTGGTTTTAATTTGCTACATCCACTCCATAAGCTGCTGTATTCACCCATCTACTCAAAACAGACTCATGTTCAGGCTGCTGTTTAATACACCGTAGTATATTATATAATTATTGTTTAGTATATGTCTTAAATACTTGTATACTGTTTCTTTTTTTTCTATATAGTACTTTATATTATTGCTATTTTGGGTGTAACTGGGACCTTGAGTACACAATTTTCAACCTCATGTACCACATGTGATGTGAATGACAATAAAGTCACCTTGAACCTTGACCTTTGTGTTTTTGGTACTTCTATTTAACTAAACAAAACTGACATTTTAAATAAATAATTCCTGTAAACTTTGTTAAAATGTGTTCAAACTAAAGTTCCTTCCAGCCCTCGGTCTTTCATGCCACAGTTCAAGACTAAAATCATCCTTTGTTGAGAAATGATGACGTTGATGCATAGTTATTTAGTGCTTGGATTATGTGTTGTGAATGACTCTCAGCTACTACCACACCAAATCTTAGCTCAGTATCTGTAAAGTTCACTGAGTTATAGGCGCTTCAGTATTTTTTTTTTTGTGAGATGTTTTGCTAACAGGTGAACAGGTTTGACTCTAACAGTTAATCCCAAAGTTTTCTGTTAAAGTATCACACAATGTATTGCTATCAAAGCATGTATTGGGCGTAATGCTCAGCTACTACCACAACAAATTTTAGCTCAGTATCTGTAAAATTGTCAGTGTTTGCTAAGATTGATTTGCTGCGGCACCATCTTGAATCAGACTGACTCCAGAAGTTATTCTATGGTGGATGTACACCCAGTGATTACTGGTTACTGGTCGCCAAACTACAAACTCAAAGCTATAGTTCAGATCTTTAGAAGCAGAGTTCTGTGGAAAAGTTCTGAACAATTAATATCTTACCTGTTGGAGATAGATCTTTGAGCAACCTCATTTTAGTTGAATTCTGACCAAGCTGAACAATCATCTCCTTGTTTGTGTCAGATCTCCACTCTGCAGGACACACCTGAGTTGTTGGGTTTCTTGAGGAACAGCAGCGATCCTCCTCTTCCTCCTCCTCTTCATCGCCACAAGCGAGCTGTCAGAAACACTGAGAGTTACAGCAGCAAGACCTTGGTGAGCCTCGCACACGTGTTTCTCCAGGGGAGACAATTGTCAGTGAGTCGCTTCTTCACGTGTTTCGTTTCCTTTCCAAGAACTGCACCAACATCTCGTGTCTGAGGATCGCCTGCGTGGTCGGTCGCTTGGATCGGGGTCAGAGCGCCGTCGTTAGGATTCGATCCAGACTGTGGGCACACACGTTTCTACAGGTGAGTGGCTTTGCTGACAGATTCATTGAATTATTTAGTTTTGCTTCCATTTTTGTCAAATATTAGCATTTTGCTTGTTTAATCATTTACATCCAGCCTAAGTTAGAATGAATTGGTCCATTTTTTTCCTTTGTTAAAAAATTTTAATTGTGTTTTTGTTTTCAAGCGGCATAATGATCCCTACATTCTCAACTCCACCGTGTCCTTCATGGTCATTTCGGTGCCTTATCTCGTCCAACCGGGGACACTATCTCAGCACACGACCTCGGTAAGGATGCGAATGTTTGCTCAATATTTGTGTCAATGCAAAAAAATAAAAATAAAACACTTCTGAGCTCTGCATCATTATCGCCTGCCACCAAGCGCAAAAAGCGATGATGTTTTTGCCCATGTCTCCGTGTGTGTGTGTGTGTGTGTGTGTGTGTTTGTCGATCTGTCTGTTGGAAAAATATTTATAACCAGTGGATGGATTGTAATCAAACCTTTAGGAAGTAGCGACTAAAAGAACATCTACAACTCATTAACTTTTGGAGCCAAGCTGATCCAAAATGGCCACCACAGTAATAAAACATTAGTCAAAGTAAAAATGGGCTACAGCTCGGTCAGTTTTACAGAAACAGTAGTCCCTCCCTACTTCGCAGTTCGTTTTTCGTGGACTCGCTTTATCCCGGTTTTTCAAAATAAGATTGGACATGACACGCAATTGGCTGACTGATGGATGAGCCACACGATCGGCATGACATTTTAATATAAAATAAATTATTTTTAATTATTTAGCACCTGCTGCACCTATGTGCAGCCCAAAGCTGCAGGAGAACCTTCCTCCTGCAGCCTGCCATATCTCCACTTTGCAGTGGAGAAGTGGGCGTGGCCAGGTGCGCTGGCACATGACAGAGAGCTGAAATTGTGGCTTTCTAGCGTTTAGAGTTTAGAGACATTGTTTAGAATATTGCAAGAGTGTGGGAAGGTTTTAAAATTCTTTTATTTGTATGTATATATATGTGTGTGTATGTGTGTGTGTGTATATATATATATATATATATATATATATATATATATATATATATATATGAAAGCGTTTTAAACTCTTCCCACTCTTCCAATATTCTAAACGATGTTTCTAAACTCTAAATGATCTAAAAGAGCACAAGATATCATGATTTCAGCTCCCTGCCTCTGGCTGCTCTCTGCCACCTGCAAGTGCTCTTGGCCACGCCCACTCTTCCACTCTGCACAGTGAACAGCTGATCAGCTGCAGCAGGAAGTTTATCCTGCAGTCAGGGTTGCACACAGGTGCAGCAGGTCCTAAATAATTCAAAATAATTTATTTTAAATAAAAATTCCATGCCAGTCGTGCGGCTCATCCATCAATCAGCCAATTGTGCATCATGTCCACTCTTATTTTGAAAAACCGCGATAGAGCGAGTCCACGATAAACGAACCGCGAAATATCGAGGGACTACTGTATATATACTAAAATAAACTACTACTTACTACTTGTACTACTATTCCTACTTCACGTTTTTTCACTTATCGTGGGTCCCCCTCGATAAAAGAGGGACTACTGTATTGGACTTAAATTTGGTGTGGTAGTAGCTGAGAGTCATCCACAACACATATTCTGAGCTCTGTCACCCATTGCAAGAGATCACAAGATCGTGCATAAAGACATTTACGAAGTTCAACCCAAGCTGCCATCATGATAAAAAGGGTTTAGTTTCAAACTCTGGCATATGCATTCATTTCGTTTATCGTCCAGATGGGGACACCGGTGCTGTGGGGGACCCCTGATGTGTCATTCGCTGTTCCGCTCTGGGTCATCATCCTGGCCATACTGCTGGGACTGCTGGTGCTGGCCATGCTAACATTAGCCATGTGGAAGGTACACACACTTTAACAGAGTTGACCATTTTCATCATCAGATGTAACATCTAATGGTGGTGTGACTCCCTCAGTGTGGTTTCTTCGATCGGGCGCGCCCACCTGCTGAAGGTGACGTCTCGGACCAGGAGAAGCTGACGTCTGATAAAACAGCGGACTCCTGAGACGGTGGAGGACTCCTGAGACGGTGGAGGACTCCTGAGACGGTGGAGGACTCCTGAGACGGTGGAGGACTCCTCCTGGTTGGAAGTTTGTTCGTTTCAGGAGGGATGTGCACCTTCTGAACACCTTGAATCAGATCTGAGATCTGCACTAGTCAGAACCTCCATTCCCTGGTTGGAAGTCTTCTGCTCCTTTGTCTTTGTTCACGTTTGTGGACCCGGCTGAAAGCAAAGGCTGCTGCTCCACACATACTGGGACCAGAACAGCAGACAAAGTGGGACCAGCACACATTTCTGGCTAAATTACACACACATGTGTGTTGTTTATCTGATGGAAGGAAGCAGCAGAATGAAGACAGAGTGGACTCTGTCGAGAGAACAATGCTTTAAATGTTTCTTGTTTCTCTGTGCGTTTGTGAGTGTAGCACACCGAGACTTAAGACGATCTATGCACAAGTGTTTTTGTGAGTTTTAGTGTGTGTGTGTGTACATGCATGTGTACCTACTGTGTGTCTATTGGGTGCCACTTGCTCCGTCCTTTGTCCACCTTTGGGGTTGAACTTATCTGTCACTTTTACACGCACTCAGAGGCAACTGCTTGTTTAAAGTGATACTTCAGAGCTTTGGAGGCGCTATCTACAACAGGTGAGATAATTGTTCATAATGTTTCCACTTCAAAAGATCTAAACTATCACTTTAAGATTTAAAAAAAACACAGAAAAGGGGCACAAAGTGTATATTTATGAATGTCTGTGCAATATTTGGGTGTGGTGTGAAGCTTGTTGTTACACTGGCACTATTTTATTAAAGCTTCACGTCTCCATTGTTTCTGTATATACTGTAAGTGATTGGTGTATTAGATTATTATTATTATTATTATTATTGCTGAAAAACGAAGCATTTGTAGACTTGTTTTAAGCCACCACATTGCATTTTTTTAAGAACATGATAAAACCAGTAAGAAATAAATAACTTATTGCCTTCTCTGTGACTCTGGGAGTTTATCTTTAAAGACAGACCCTTCACAGAACTTCTTGTTTCAGAGTGAACGCTGACGGTGTCACGCTTGGGCTGTTTGTCATTTTTGTACTAATTGTGACCTTCGGTTGGAATAAATCTAGTTAGATAAATTATTTCTGTTCTGCTCATGAGAATACTGCAAGTTATTTGGACTTCGATTAGTCTTTCAACTATAGATTTAAATAAAAGTACTGAATGGTCTTAGTAACTTCTTTGTTTTTCACATCAGATGAAGGACTCTTGTTCCTCCAAATGGAGCTAAATAAAAACTACTGAGTATTTGTATTTTTTATTTTTTGCTTCAGCAGGAGGAAAGCTGATGCAGAGCCGGACAGCTCCATCCTGTGGCCCAAAGTTGAACTTTTTTTTTTTTTTTTCCATTTCAGCTAAATACAAATTTGGCAGAGAAGATATAAAAGTGTCTGTTTTTATGAGCTACAATAAGCAGATTAAGTTGTGCTGACTTTTTAGCTTTCTAAAGTTTTATGAAAGCAGAAAAAGGCTCCCCTGTGTACCAGGTTATTTTACTGAATACCTGATTCATTCAGTTTATTGTGTGAATGTTTATGAAGCATTCACTCTAATGTGATCCATTTTTTTCTTCTGTGTGTTTTTCAGCTCTATTCTCGTCTCGCAGTTTTCACGTCATTTCAACAAATCATATATCAAAAGATTCAGCTGTTTCAGGATAATCCTGCTATGACTTTTGAAACTTTAGCTTTTTGAAATATTTAGCCTTTTCTGCCACTTTTTCTTATAGGAAATTAATTGAACTCATTTTACATCCTTCAAAATCTAAAGCTCTGTTTACAAACTTTTACTGCTCTGTTTTGTTCTGTATCAGCTTCTTTCAGCTTCCTTGTGCAAATCTATTTTCAGCTAATTTCAGCTGTTTTGTGCTCCTTTCAGCTTCCTTCTGCTAACTACAACATTTATGTGCTTCTTCTAATGTCTTTCTGCTAATTTTAGCTTGTTATGCGCCTTTCAACTGTTTTTCTGCAAGTTTAAGCTTTTTTCTACAATTTCAGCTACTATTTAGCTGTTTTATGCTAATTTAAGCTTTTTCAGTAAATTCCACTTTTTTTTTTTTTTTTTACTTTTTTCAGCCTAATTTAAAAAAAACTGCTCCATCTACTTCCTTCTGCTAATTTAAGCTTGTTCTACCTTTTCAGCTAGCTTTATTGCTTTTTTTAAAGCTAATTTCTGCTCTTCAGATAAATTCAAGTTTGTTGCTGTGATTTCTGCTACTTTTCATGTAATTAACATATGTATGCTCATTTCAGCTTGTTATGCTTCCTCCGTTCAACTTTTTTCAGCTAGTTTTGGCTTTTTCTGCTATTTCAGCTACTATTCAGCTGTTTTTATGCTAATTTTAGTTTTTTCAGCTAATTCTACATTTTTCAGCTCATTTCAGCTCTTTCTGCTCCCTTCTGGTAGTTTAAGCTTCTTTCTGAGATTTCAGCTACATTTTGTTAATTTTAGCTTCTTTTTTTATAGCTAATTTCCTAAGTTTTGTGCTCATTTCTGCTTATTTAAACCTAATTCAGCAAACGTGCTTGTTCTGCTTCTGCTAATTTTGGCTTTTTCTTCCATTTCATCTATATTTCAGCATGTCTTATTTTAGCTAATTTAAGCTGTTTTTCAGCAAGTTCTTCTGCAATAAGCATTCACGCTGCATTTTTGCAGGAAATGCAATTTCTCCAGTTTAATTTACTGGTCAACTGAGAGCTGGTGGACATGTTTTCACTGGAAGCAGAGGCTCTGTTGGCAGGTGTACAAAGCATTTTGATCAGTGTTGTCATCTTTTTACTTCACAGAATAAGAGCTTGTTCTTGTACTCATCAAAGCAGATGTCATCAGGTATATCTGAGGGAAACATTACTTTAACTCAAACAGCTTGGAAACTACAAACTCACATTTAATAAACGGCCAAAAGCCACATATTCTCTGTCTGTGGTGTCTTTCCTCGCTCTCAAAATTAAAACCTGTAGTGAAAAATTAGACGTGGGCCGAAGTGAATCCCCGTTTATAAAGTTTATATGAAAGAAGTCTTGCAGCGTTTGTTTTCTTTAGACTCTTTATTTCTTTGAATATATTTGATCAAAAAGTTAAATCAAACATCAGAATAAAAGATTTAACAGTTTCTGACTAGCAAATCTCAACACCATAAAAGTAAAGAAACATCATTGGTACTACGGGACCGTACGGAGAGGACATGTTGGATCTTATACAGAGATTTATCCCAGCAGACTCAAACTGCAAGAAAGAAATCAAGTCATTGACTCCCCTAACTTTCTGGGGTTTTGAGCTGGTGCAGAAAGAAGAGCTTTGAGGTGAAGCAACATCCTGCATTTCTGTCCGATGAGCGACGATGGTGCTTATTTTTAATTAAATATCTTTATATAGGTCTGTACATGGGGGTTAGTGTTTCTCCTTTTCACCGGCGATGAGGTCTGATCGACAATAAAATGGAAGACTTTGGCTATTTACAAACTGACGAACGTAAATTTTCTCTTGAACATGCTGTACTTCTGCGTATCACTCCCTCGGACACACTCGCACGCCAACATTTCAAAGTGCAATTTGCCACGACAGTGCAGCGTTTTTATGCCACGTTCAACTTTGTAGAGAAAAAGAAAATGTGAAAATGATGCATTGAGGAGGCCAGGCATGTTTGTGAACAAATGTTTTGTCAAAAACCCTGTTGGCATCAGTCTCGTTACTGCTGCAGCATCGTCTCAAACCTTTTACATGATTTTTAGTTGTTTCTTTTGTAAACCTAATGACAACTCACCTAAGACTGAAACCAACGAGGATTTATTTTTTTTCACTGCAAATTGTTTTTTGATCAAATCTGATTATTTATTTCTATTAGGCCCTCTTTACTGATCGTGAAGTGATTTGTCAGGATGAATATGCGCCCCGTGTTTTTGGTTTTAACTCAAGAACTTGGGAGATTTAAGCGACAAATTATAGAGTAACTAAAGGGACAAGTGAAAGTGGATGCAGCATCTTGATCCAGAAAGCAAAGCCAATGAACAAGTTTTGAAGATGGTGGCTTTTTGACAACTCGAATAGAAAAATTTAAAGTATAATTTTTAAAGTGCGGCTAGTTTGTTGAGCAACATTTATGAGGAAGTTTCCAGAAGGTTTTTACTAAGTTTGTTTTTCCTTGCATGAGTTACATAAGTGCAGTCTCGTTGCTTTAGTTTAAAATGTGTAAGAAAAAAATGAAACAAACCTTCCCCTCGAAATTGTCACAAAGTCGTCACGGGCGTCTCTAACCGTATGAGGTCTGTCCAGGTTTTAAAAACATGCAAATGCTGTCGAAAATTTTTAAAACATTAAATAAAATCTGCCCATTTTAATTTCTAAAAATAAGCAAATGGACGCCAAATATGCAGTTTTGTGAGCCTCATACACAAAAATAGTCTAATTTTCAAATTGTGGCCGTTAACGTTTGCTGCCTCACATCTCGCTGGGCCCTTGATCACAAACACTCAGACTTCTGTGAAACTGCAACGAAGACTTTGGATATTTCTCCACAATTTTAGGTCACCAACTTATTGGCGGTCACAGCCCAGTGAGATAGCACCTTTATCCAGTTTGCTCGTCCAAAGAGAAGTAATGGCTGAAATTATTGACATGGCTGAAGCTTTAAGGGGCTTTTGAAACTTAAACTGTAATATTCATTTTGTGTTTGTTTTATTTATTTATATATTTATTCTGCTTTTATGAAGAAGAATTTTGTGAATATTTCCAATTATCTCTTGCAGGAGCAATAAGTATGTATCATTCTGTCACCCCTAAGTAATTCACACCATTTTTCAGAGCTATGCTACAAGCTGTGCTACAGGCTACGCTACGAGCTAAGCTATTTAGCCTAGCCAGTGTTTTTCAAAGTGGGGGCCGCCAGGGGGCGCTAGGAGGCCTCAGAAAACTGGAGAGAAGATTTTATCAAAGCAAATATATATATATATTTT